ATCAAGGAACGTCACATAATAAAAAGAATGAAGATAATAAAAAGCAACTACTATAATTTAAAAATTAATAGTTATTATTTTTTATAGGTCATACCATTGTAATAGTTATTATTTTTACGATCTATAATACAACGGATTGACCTATAAAAATAATAACAATTACCCTTTAAATTACAGTATTTATTATTTATTAATTACTTTCATTTGTTTTTTTTTATTTGGCACGAAAAGTTATTCAAATCAAACAATGAGAAATCATATATATGAAAATTGGTCAACTCTCTCCATATGAGTGCCACATCATCATACAAGAAAATGACATGTGTCATTCTATATTATTTAAATTAAAAGATTAGTAAAATTTATTGAAGGAAAATCAAAAGTCTTTTGTTATTTTAAATCTTTCACTAATATCTCTCTTAATTGATTTTTTTTTTTAAAAAAAAAATTATACTAATGTATCAAGCACTACTTTTTTTTTTTTTTTTGTCATCCGCAATTAATTAGAGCTCAAAAGAGCCATTCCTGAGGAATGTTGTTTACATAGGTGATATGAAGCGGTTCTGTACGAACTTTTCGTGCCAGGTTATCCGCCTTAACATTAGCCCTACGAGAAATTAAAGATAAAGAAAAAGATGAAAACTCCTCCTTGTCGCTTTGAAATTCCTCCAAATACACTGAAAACGCCGGCCATTCGGTTGGAGAAGACACCATCTTCACCAGGTCTGAACAGTCTGTAAAGAACGCTACCTCTTGATTATCTGCACCAATCATACACTTCATCGTCCAGAGAAGGGCCTCGACTTCAGCATGTAGTGGAGATAGACTTCTACGGAGGTTCGCAGCTCCCATGGTTAAATTTCATTCTACCCTTTTTATTTTATTAAATTTTTATATCAATGGTCACTACTTCGTGATGGCTAAAAAAATTACTTGTGTTGTACCTTTAGATGTTTGATACATAAATTCATATTAATTTAGTAATTTTATTTTGAATAATTTTTATTATTACGTTTTGTAAATATGACTTATCATATGACCTTCTCTCTTTTCATTTTTGTCCGTTATGATAAGTTAGTAACATTGACATACAAGTTTTTTCACGTAAGATTCATTTGAGACGTTAGACATACTAATAAATTTAAAACATGAGACTCTCTCTATGGCTATATGTAAGGAGAGAGGTCTAAAGTGTTGACTTAAATTACTAGTATATCATGATATGGTTGGCATACTAGATGACGAGAGAGTACATTAAACAAGTTTCAAACTACATCTACATATACATTTTTACAGGGGATTTTTGCAAAAAGTCTTTTGGATCCGGGTTTTACCCGGGTTTAACTCTATTCGGATCTAGAATAAGAAATTTAAGGAAGTTTGTAATAAAAACGACATTAATTCTTAATTAACACCTAAATTAGAAATATATATAATATATCTAAACTAACCATATTTGTTATTTACCTTAACTACTTCTAACCATAATTATTTAACTATTTATTTCTATATAGAAAGAATATGTGATTAAAATAAATATTTTGTAAAAGATTGATTTGGGGAAAAATTGTTATTACGAAAATAATTTGTTTTGTTATAAAAATTAACTTTTGTTATTTGTAATTAAATTACATAAATAGTAATAATAATTTGTCTACACCATCAAATGAAAATAGTTAGTTATTTATTTTTTTATTTAATATTACGTCATTTTTAAAAAATAAATTCAACAATATAATGTCAATGAGTTTAATTCTAAAGATTTGAAAATATTAAAAAGATACTAACCAAACATTATCTATCCTAATTTGTTTCTAACAATTTCGACACAAATCTTTCGAAAATTTAATGTGATCACAGTTTGTTACTAAAATCTCGATTATATGCCTAAAATCTCGAGAAGATCTTCCTTTAAATCCGCAAATTATAATTTTTGAATTAAATAAACTAACAATACGAATATTCCTAATATATTCGAGTACTAATAATCCTTATTATAGTATATTCCTTATCTAAATACTAAATCTTTTATTTTTAATTCTAATCAAAATTTATGAAATCGGAAATCAATCATGATTTCTTAAACATCCTTAAATTTCGAAATAATCAACAATTCGAATATGCTGAAAAATCATAACGAAATATCTTTATTTACTTAAATGTTTTAGTAATCGTTATAGCAAAAAAATCAATTCCAGCGCTATTGGTTCTTTAAACTTTTTGATTTACATAAATATTTTGTATTCCATAATTAACTCATTAAATTCTTTGATTTAAATAACTACAATGTGAAAATTAGTATATGTAATAAATATAACATATAATATTTACGAGATTTTCATATACTTGATCCCCAACCCAAATTGGCGAATATATTATTTCTCATAAAATATCTTTAAAAGATTTTTTTTGTTTCGTTTAGATATTATTCAACAAACTTCCTAAAACAAATGGAAATATCTTTAATTAGCTTTCCTCATTCATAAATCCCACCATGCATATAGACGTTATTCAGTTGATAATACAAAATCGAATATATTAGGAATCAAATATTTAATTTTCCAATATTTGCAAAATTGTTTTAATTTTTAGATCAAACCTAAACTTCTCGAGTACTTTTCATTCATCTATATAAAAAAGATCTTTTCAACCATTGATCCACAATACTAAACGTTTTCGTAATAGAGATTTATATGGCTTCTTTTAAACAATGTTCTTAGTACATTTTATATTTCACGTTTGTTTTCTTTTAAAAAATTAATTGTCACCTACTTTTCTTATGTTGCAGCTTTCGATTTTAAGATCTTTGGAAATTATGGACATCATCAACTCCGTCTCCAAAGAAACTATCAAATAAGGTATGCATTAAAAGGTTAGTTAGTCCTTCTTCTTATCTTCAGATACGAATTTTTTTTAATGTCCAGTATTTTTTTACATTTTCATAATTTCATGTTTCCTCATAATGTTTGTAAATGATTTTCTTTTATAGGCTAACATAACAAGTCCATTCTATTAAAATCATTTTCTTTAACGTAAAAAGGAAATGAATTTGTTAATAAAATAAAGTTCTTATTCTTAATTTTCATTATTCTAATGTTATGTATTTTAATTGTTTTTATGATATATACTTTTATTAAAACCTGTGGATCCGAGTTTTGGTTGGTAAGTGTAATTTTTCTAATCTTTTAAAACCTTTTACAACAATTACATGTTTTATATGGTTAACAATCACATCATATATATTTTATTTTCTTATCCAATGTATTTCATGTTTAATGTTTTCTAATATTTTTTATTGAAACTTTTAAATAGTTTCAAATTATTATAAACATTTAAACTTTATTAAAAGTAAAATATTATAATTATTTAAACATTTAAAAAAGTTTATTTTTATAAAACGTTTTAAATATTTATAATATTAGGAATTTTATAAAGTTTCAAATATTAAATAGTTGAATTTTATAATAATTTATAAGAAATTTAAACATTATAAATATTTACAAAAGATATTAATACGGGACGGTATATTACGGGTGAAATCCTAGATATAACAATCAAAATACTATTATGAATTTTGGGTCGATATTAAATGAAGTTTCGAATATTAGAAATATTTGAATTTTATTGGAAAATGACAAAATGATGTAGATTTCACGGGACAGAGTTATATGGTCGGACGGATTTGGGGTCGATATTAATACAGTATGATATACTACAGGTGAAATCCTATAATTAACAATCAAAATATAACTATACAATCTTAAACACTAAACAAAACTAAACAAATAATATTAACAAAACAAATAAAACTTCAAATTTTAAATCTTTAGTTATAAAATATCGTGTGTACCATACATTTAAATCAAACAAAACAATAGCATATATCTATAGATCATCTTAAAAAAAATTAATTTTATTATTATTTAATAAAATTATAGACCCGCGGTGTACCGCGGGTTAATATCTAGTAAGTAACATAACTACATACCATTGTATCAATTTATCATATAGTTGTTGTTTTATGTATCCATGATAGTGAAAGATTAGGATCGTAGGTATATAAATAATCAGATTTATACATGAAAAATTAGAATTGATATTTCGAGTCAAAGATGAATCTAATCATACAAATTATAACTATATAAAACAGATCTAACTTTATTAAAATGAACATAAAAACAACAAAACCATAATAATATTTCTTTCTGCAATTTTTTCAAAACAAAAACCTACGCGTAGCGTGGGTATTTATCGAGTAATAAAAAAGAATGAAGGCAATAAGAAGCAATGAATCTAATTTAAAGGGTAATAGTTGTTGTATTATCTGTCAACTTGTTGTATTAGATCGGAGACTAACTCATTAAATTGTACAATCATCCCCCAAGAAGCATTTATATGATCAAAGAAATAACGTAACCAAAGGATAATATACTAAAACAAGAACATGGAAATGACATGTTGATTTTTGAACTATATGATCTACATTTTATACATTGTTCTTACAAAAAAAAAAAAAAAAAAAAATTTACTAACTATTAAAATAAATATATTAATTTAAAAAGAATAAAACTTTCATGAATTCTTACAAAACAATACATTTTATTATTTCTTAGTTTGTATATATGTAATTCATTCAGTTTTGTTAATTTCTTAAAATCCATTTTATCAGGTGTACTATCTATTGTGTCCACATAACCATATCCCATCAAAGAAAATGTTATTCACTAAGTAGGGCATAAAGTGCAACAACTACAAAACATTATCCAAAACTTAATATATATTATGATCCATAAAATTCATTTCTCCATTGAGTAAAAATCTCTACAGATTTGTATTATGGCTGTTTCTTTCCTCTTACTAAAAACTCCATTGATATTTATCGTGTCTGTTATCAACGACGTTAGATTACAATTTACAACACTTTTTCTAGTTTTGATCTCTACCATTGTCTTGTTATCAACTCAACCAATCTTCTATCCTTTTATTTTCATCAATAAAAATAAACTAAAATAAAACTTTTAAATTGTCATACTCCTAATCCATAATACATTGTTATGTCAAACTCCGAAAATGTTACACAAACCAACTTAAAACAAACACTATCACATCTCTCCATCTTCACACAAACACAAACACACTAAAATAAAATCAAATCCTATATAATTATATCCTAAAAGAAGAAGACTGTCTTTGAAAGTGATTCTATGATGACCCCACCACTAACAGTTTCTCGTCTGGTCTTGAAAGGACGTTCTTATTTCCTCCCTCTCCCTCTCAGTAGTTTCTGATCAGACCGGAGCTCTGTGAGGTTATTGTCTGAGTAATACAAATTATCTACATGGTTCTGTGCTAACAAATTAGCAATGGTAACAGTGAGACTATGTTCAGAGCTTGCAGCTGTCTCAACAATGGCTTTGTCTTTAAGAAAAGAGTTTTCAGCTTTCAAGACCCTTATAAAATAAGGATGCTCCCATCCGTCTTCAACTCAGGTGGAACCAGAGAGTTGAGAGTGAGCTCTTCGAGTAACTCGTCGAGAATCAGTTCACTAGTTTCAAAACCAATGCAGTCAATGTCACATCTGATGTCTAACCAGTTTCCAGCTCTAGCCATATCTTTTCTAACTATCTGATCCAAGGCGTGAGGGAGTGGCAATGGCAAGAGATGCCAGTAAACCGCTTCTTGTACCTCATGAATGATGCTTTTGACGGTACAGAAGACTCTGGTTCTTGGTGTAACAAACGAAGCCCAAGGTGGGCAACAGCATAACTCCATGAGAGCTTCATTGATGCAGTCAAAGAGGAGCTCATGGTCAGGGCAAAGCTGATTTGGACAGAACGGTATATTGCTGATAAGTGCCGGTTCAAGAAGCTGGTCAGAGAATTGCGCCTTCAGATAGAGCTCTTCGAAGTCTGAGTCTACTGCGTCCAAGACAGCTTTTACATACTTAAACACCAATTCTTTGTCACTTGTGACAGAATTCTCTCGGTTTTTAGTTACAGGATCTTTTTCATCGAAGTGGATACACCAAGGTTGCACCTCTGCTTCACCTGAGTCGTAAATATGAATCAATAATGAAGAAATGAGTACTAGTATCCAAGTCTAGTAGTAGATGTTGGGATCTGCTTTTTAAATACCAGACTGAGATCGCATTTTTGCTGGGCTTATATCATCTTCAACGAAGAGTGGCTCAAGAACTGATATTGGGCTTGACCACTCCGGAAAATCGGTAATAGCTGATTTGCACTCCTCAGTTTTAGCTAAACAGTGAGATGGTGAGTCCACAGAGGAAGACAGTGGTGGTTGGCTCTCTTCATGAGAGGTCTGTAGAAAAAATGAAGCAGCAAAACCGATTTAAGTCTTCCACCATTTCAAGGGGTCATACGAAAAGATATTATCATAGTGTTGGATCAAAATGACTTGCCTGTTTTGAGATTATACCGTCTCTCTGTTCATCATGAGCTTCAACTTTGCACAAGTCACCAATCAAAGTAGAGCTTGCTTCCTCTGGAACTACATCTATCTCATTGGGAATCATAACATCATCTGCAGAACCTGGAAGATTGGCAGGTTATAAAATTAATTATTGCTTTCTCAAAACACAGAGCCTTACTATGAGACAGAAATATTATTACCTGCAGAAGACATTTTATCTTCGTTAGCAGTTTCATCCTCAATGTCAACACTTTTCTCAGTAGGTTCAGTTGCCGTTGGTTGGATAGAATCGTCAGGTTTTTCGCTTAGATTGCAGACCTGAATATCTGCATTTTCCTCTGGTTGGCTCGCATGAGTTTCTTTCTTGATGTTCACAAGATTTATGAAATCCGCTGAAGCAGACTTCTTGTGAGCAGTTGAGATCTTTTCCCATCTTCTTCCCGGGCTGTTTAGAGGAGACAAGTACTCAGGAAAGGAGAGAATTCTCCCTAGGCTTCTTTGAACCTGTCTACTCGTTGACTTCGAATCAAGATCTCCATTGTTTAACATCTCAGACAGATGTTTCTTGGCCTCTATGTAAATGTTGGATACCCTTTGCTTTTTATCATCTTCATTATGAGATTTCTTCTGAGATGTTGAAGGCCTTGCCATCCGCTCAAGAAAGAAATGATCTTTAGTTTTCGGAAACCCTTCCCCAAATCCCCCGGCCGGTTGCTCTTTTTTGATTGCATGTTTCAGCTTCCTCTTGATCTCAGAAAGAAAGAAATGTGAACTGTTTCTCTCGTTCTGCAATTTGTTTCCCATCAGATGAGAATCAGGTGACGAACCACGACTATTTCCTATGTCCGGACTTGAAAAGCTTGCTGACCTTGGCTTCAGAATGAAAATCCGGTCAGAAGCTTCACATTCTTCTTGTGGTGCATCTTTCCTCCTGAAAAAGCTAGACCATTTCTTATCAGCAAGAGAAGATTGTTCCGACTCAAACAAGCTCAAGCTTTCTGCTCCCTTCTCCCTTGGCACAAGTATCTCTGGATCTTGCAGAAGTTTGAGAAACAATTCTTCATCCGATCCCAGGATTTGAAACACTTCCATCAAATCCTTAGACGTAAGGATTTCACTATTTCCTCTGGGACGGTTCCCATGTAAAAGCTTCTGACTAATTAAAAACTTGACCAACTCCCTCAGTTTTTCTTTGTAATCTTCGTCATTCTTTGCACGACTTGTACTTCTGCGATGAATCTCAGAATAGAACTCTTCAATCATATTATCAATGTCAACACTCCTTGCAGACCTATGATTTCTGCGTTGAACTTGAGGCTCTTCACTGTCAACTAAGTTTATATGGCTAAAATTATCGCAGCTTTTCTTGCGTGTCTTGTTTTTTCTCCTCTGGTTTTTCCTTCTTCTTCCTTCAAGTTCAGAGTCTGACAACTGTCCTGCTTCAGCACTCTCCCTCTGCTTCTTGATTTCCTTGTCAATGGACAACTCTTCTGCTATGAGCTTCTTCACACTTGGCTTTATAATTGTTATCGTGATATTGCGTTCTTCACCAACCTTTAAACAGTTCAAAGAACAACTAAATTAATCCACATGAAACTTTAAGGACAGAAACAAGTTATGGATGATCCCAATAAGGTTAAAGGTTACATTGGGTTCTTGAGCATCCGTTTCGCGGAATTTGGACTTGTTAAGTTCATTGTTCTTAGGATTTCCAGAAGCTGAAACAACCAACATAACTATTAGCCAAAAGAAGTCTTCCACGGTTAATGCAAAACCAAAGATGCCAGAGACATGAGAAGGTTGTTACCATGCTTTTGGTCGAGAAGCAGCTTGTGAGCCAGTGGTCCATGGCGGAAATTAAACATATTCATAAATCCCCACATGCACCCTAACTGTTCCCTCTCCTGTCGAGCAGCAGCACGACGTTGTGTTTTCTTCGCCATGGCTTTCTATGCTTCCTAACCTTCTCTAACGTTGTCCCTTTAGAAATGCTGAAGAAGAACAAGAAAACTATTAAGCAGCAAACTATGAGACACGCCACACACAACGGTACAATAATGAGTTTCAGATGTAGAAATTACAACTCCGGTAAATTCTACTTATGGACAACAATCTCAGACCCTTGAGAAACAAACAACAAGAGAACAAGACCAAAATTTTCCACGCTTAGGCGTACTTAAAAAGAGAAGAAAGAATTATCCTTCCTAAACACTGCAATGGAATTCTTGAGAAATAAATTAAGACAAGAAGTAAGAAGTAAAGGATCCTCTACCAGTTCTCAAAAGCAAACTCCTTTTACAATCATATAATTAAGCTTACTTCTTCAACTAATAAGGTCAAAATTAAGGACAACGAAGAACACAAAGCTTGAGAGATACAGACTTATGGAGCAAATCAGACACATTTCCCTACTGGAAAAAGACAGCAGAGGAAAGTACCTCTTAGATTAGATTCTCCTGAATTCCTTAAATTCCAAACTTCATTGAAGGGCAACAGCGATTGTAGCTAGATTTCATCTGCTTTGCTTACGTCTGAGCAAAGCCATAGAAAAAATCCAATAAAAAAGTGATGCAAGTTGCAGCAGAGGTAGTTCCAAAACTTTCTTTTTTCGTGAACCAGCTTTGATCGCCGGAAAAAACGGTAGAAGAAGAAGACAATTGAGATTTCTTTAAAGCCAAGGCGAGAGAGAGAGAAAGAATAATTAAGCAAATGATAGCTTCAGAATCTTATAAACTTGAAAACAGAGGACAAGTTAGCGTATCTTGATGATCCAATCTCCAACCACATTGTTTCATCTGACAACTTTTCCAGGTTTTGTCTGATAAAACCCCAAGCTTCCGTAATCATACACGATCAAATCAACAAAAGGAGGAAAAAAAAAAAGGAAAAAGCTTTGATCATAAAAAAAATTGCAGCTTTAATTTCCAAAGTTGATGAACAACCCAACAGAATAAAAGAGTAATCAAATCCAATTAGAGAAGAAATACAAAAACTTTCTTCTTCTTACTGTTCAACATTCAAATAAAAAGAGAGATTTTTTTTCTTTCCTCTGTTGGTGGGCATCTTTTGACAAACAAGAGAGAGATAAATATTAAATTTTGAAGTGTCTTATCTATCAATGACCGACAAAACCATTAGTTTTCATGGAGGATTCTCAAATTGGGCAAAGGCAAAGAAAAAAGTGAGAGAGAAATGGGAGGAAAAATATCAAGTTAAAAAAAAAAAAAAAGTGGAAAACTTTATGCCAATTTGACAACAACGTCGTGGCCTTAGCTAGCCTCCACAGGAGAAGAAAAAGAGAACAATCACAGTTGGAAAATATACTTTGAAAATGGGCCCATCATCTTCTACAACAGAGGAGAGGAGAGAGAAAGTTAAAAGAGAGAAGCTTTACATAGAAGAAAAGTATTTTACAGAGACTTTTTCAACAGCCTTCATCATTAGCCTCACCAGGTAAATAATTGATCTTAATCTCTCTCTCTCTCTCTTTCTTCTCAAAGCTCTGAATTTGAGACATGGCAGTGACGAGGATTGTTGTCTGCGAGCCTGAACTCGTGCAGGGAGAAGAAAAAAAAAGGGCCTTGAGTGGATAAAAGTAAAAGGTTAGGGGTCATAGTGTAACTATTAGAAAATAGAAGGTGCGGATAGATAAATAATAAGAATGAGTCCAAAGAGGAGAGACGTAATTGGTCATTGGTGGTTTTGCTTGGCTGGTTATGGAAAATGGAGAACACGTAATATTTGAGATTACACCAAATGCGATTATTTTCATTGACCAAGTCATCAATCAATAGGTAACGACGACGTTTTATGTCTTGTCATTCTCCTAAAGAAGAGTTGTGCTTTTCTAAACCATATCCCAAAACCGAGTGTAACCAAAACATTAATTAGAGCTCTTGTTTCAACCGTCGATAGAGTTTTTTAATACTTTTGTTGTGACTCGTGCGCATCTATCGATCACCACGAACACTATCACAATTGCTCGTAAGGTCACGTCAAGATTCTCTATCTCAACTCGAATTTGAATCGCACAAAAACAATATGATCAAATACTTAAAAGAGCTATATATCAAATAGAACTTTATAGGAGTAGTATCAATCTAATCAAACAGAGCATAATTGAAAATTAGAACTCGTACTTAAAGTTTCGGTTAAGCAAAATGTTATGTGGGGTTTGCTGATAAAGTCAAGCACTTTATGGTACAACAGAAATAATTAGCTAGCATTGTCTGATTCATCCGTGGCATAGCAGAAGTCGAAACCATTTGTTATGTCAAGATTTAATCGAATATATCTTAGCTTGACCATGCTCAGTTACTTCTATTGAGTTTTCTTCAAGCAACTTCATTCAGTCAGGGACCATAGTATATATAGTATATACATACACAACACACAGAATTATTCCACTTACCAATCAATAGCACGCGTACAAACGTGTACAAAATATTAAATAAGATTCAGAAATTGATACAAACGTGGCATTGTTTTTTTGAGGTTGGAACTTACGACCGACAAAATAGATATTGACGACATAAACTTGCTCCCACTAATTCACTATGGAAGTTAGAGACACTGTGAGCACCTTTTCCACTAAATAAACCGTATAAATATCACAAAAACTTATACCATTTCCAATTTGGTTTTAGATCTTATACAATTTTGTAAAATATTTTTGGTAACCAATAACTTTTGGACCTTGCAGTACATGCATGGTCGGCTCAAAACTAAAACCAACGTATGTAAATCATTTTTGCAAGTGATAGATTTTTAAAAATCCAAAATATCACAAACAGAACTATAAATGCTAAATAATTAAATATTGCAGTTGTACCTTTGACATGATTTCTTAGTTGATATCTATTGAACTTTCGGAATGGGTGTGATAATAATAGTAGTTGAGAATCATGACTACCATAACTAGTTAGGTAACTTGGGTCAATGGATTTTATCTAGATGTTTCACTCGCTTTTTTTTTTTTTGAGCAACTTCTAAATGTTTACATCAAAAACCATCGAAACTTTTAATTTTTTATAAGGTTAAATTCATCATGAAGCAACTTGATAGGACAATCTTGCTGACTGCTTTACAAATCTCAAGGACGATAACACATGAAATTTCTTCTTTCACTGTAATTGTTTTTTTCTTAAAATAGGGTTAGGCCAAAAGCAAATCTAACCAATGTTAAATTTTGTTTAATTGCCGAAAAAGGGCAATGGATGAGTTGTTTTACCAGACGGATAAGCAACATTATAGTAGCCTTAATCATAATGTTGGGCGTAATTAAAAAAAAATATATGGGTAAAGAATTTTCTAAACCAGTGACGTTACTTTTACGAAAGATGACAAAAGTTTTTAATTAGTACCCTAATTTATTCTTGTTAGCTATGCTTTAAAGAGAATCCCATATGCATAGTAATACATAAAAATGGCTACCTGGAATGACTTGGAAATAAGGATCTAATCGAAAGTGAACATCTTTATTTAGATATTTGAGGTTACTTATAACGATGATTTTTATACTAAAGTAATCTCTCTTCTTTTTCGTGCTTTTAAAAATGAATTTATTTTGATATAAATGAAAGTATGCGTGTGAAAACCAAAGAAAAAGAATGGAGCGGGGCCTTTCAGAAATAACCGGAAGATACATGTGTCGTTTCCAAATTGGTTCCAGTCCAAAGCCTAACTCTCTCCGACAAAAGCCTGTTTAAAACAAATTAACAAAAGCCTATTTGGAGAGAGTATGAAATGTATTATACATACTGGTATACTACATAGTATTACTTCAAGCGAGCATGAGAAACCTCCATGTGTATTTTCATCTGAGTCTATGAGACTATGGCTACACTGCATTGTTCTGACTGCATGTAACAACAAGGTAAAAAAAACATGTATTCCTTTTTAATTATAGTTGATATATGTATATGGGAAAATTGAACCAATTACCATACCTGCACATGAGACACTTCAAATTCGTCTTGCTTGCTTACCGCTCTCTTCTTCAAGGTGCTCTGTTCTGATTTCACTCTCTTCCAACATCCCACATTTGCTGTTAGCGACTGCTTAGTTTGTAGACAATTTGGTTTTGGAAATAGAATGTGTTCTTTGCATTAGGACACCTTAGCTAGCCGCTAGACCTTGCTTGCTGCTGAGGCAAGTTGTAGTGTCATGCGGTAACATAAAAACCACATTAACTGCTGAAATTACAGCTTAAGAGTCTGGTAGATCAAATAGATGGAGAAAATGAAGAAAAACAAAGTAGAGTTGTTGACAAAACCAGATATATATATCACTAAACCATGGGTGAAAATTCAGTATTAAAGCGCATGTCAAAAATGCAAATTAAAGGCGTTGTTTTGGGTCTATTTTTTAATGTTTTAGAAAAATATATAAAAATGATACCCCAAGGTAAATTAAATCCAGAAAAAAAGGAGACTGAACAGAGGATATATCTTGACTCCTAAACAGAAGAATATATCTTGACTCCTAAATAGAAAATACAACAGATATATATATATTGTGGAGAATATATTTCTCACACAGTTACGTTAATTAGTTTGCAGAGTCCCTATAATCATGCGGGATCTGATAGTGATAATGCCAATATAGTGAAATTTGATATGTATATCCGAAAAGGATTTGGAAAAAAGGTTCTTAATTCCACCTAACTGCAGCTATATATATATATATATATATATATATGCCTCTTGAGATCTTTTCTCTGTAAAGTGCCAAGTCATTATCGGTTTCTTCTCCATATCGTCTAGGTCTTTTAGGTGTGTATTCCTTTGAATTCTTGCATGCTTGCTTGATTATTTCTAATCGTTGAGTGGCTTGGTAGTACTATACAATTCTAGGGTTTTATTAATTAGGGTTTTGATGAATGTATGATTCTAACTTGATCAAGTTGTATTGACAGGAGGAGAGAAGAAAACATGGCAGATAACACCAAAAGAAGGAAAATCGATAGAGTAGGATTCCTCAGTGAGCATGTTATGGCATTGAAAGAAGCCATACATCCTGATATTATCGTCAAACCTGGTGACAATAGTTCTGGAATTCCTTCCCACAAAGCTGTTTTGGTAAAATCTTTTCGAACTATATATATCACTTATTTGGACTATTATATATAGTAGTATAACTAATTATCTTTTTTCTTTCTTGATGTACACGACAGGCAGTGAAATCAAAAGTGTTTAGAAACATGTTGGAGTCTGATGAATGCAAAGTTGCACCAGAGAAATCAATCATTATCCCTGATCTGAGCTACGAAGAACTCAAGTCACTCCTTGAATTCTTCTACAGCGGAACCTTGAGCCCTGACAACAAACACATTCGAGCTCTCTATCTAGCTGCTGACAAGTATGACATTCAGTATCTCCAAGATATTTGCAGAGATCTTTTGATCTCTTCAATGAATCTCAGCTTTGACAACATTCTCGACGTCCTCGAACTCTCGACTATCCCTGCCGACACCCATCTCAAGGAAGCTGCGCTACTAGTTTTAGCCTCAAGAAACATACACATGATTTTTTCCAAAAGATTTGAATCGTTTGCACATGAGAACCCTCAGCTAAGCTTGGAGATCACACGAACTTGTTTGAACAAATTGCAATCCTACGTAGTCTACTGCAGACAACATCATCGGTTTAAGTAAAGCCATTGGTCGGTTTTCTTTAACTCAATTTTCTGATTAGCATTAGAAATTAGATTATTTAATGTGTGCGGGTGTTTTTCTTTTTTTTGGGCCTATGTAATCAAATAATGAATCCAAAGCTATTGCTTGTAATAATCGCTATATTCAAGCTTTACGTGCTTGAAGATCACAAGGCTTTTCTAAAATAGACGAAACTTTACTAGTTACTAACCAAACGGGTCAAAGGTAGGCAAAAGGCCCAGGGCACACTTTTCAAATATACACTAAAAGGGGCCAGACATTTTGATAACACATTTAGTTTAAGGGCTCAAAATAATTTTCAGTACCCAGTTTTTTTAAAAAAGAAAATAATAAACTACAGGCCAAAATGTTTTTGTTGCCCTATAATATTATTGAGCCGACTAGTATTACAAATTTCACAATTAGTACATATATTGCATCTGTATATCAGATCATCGTATTTCTTTATTAACTGTTTGCCGTTTATTAATCAAATCCTTATTATACCTATATATTATCAGTATCTCTTAACCTGTCGCTGATAATTGTTGATGAATAGTTGAGAGGGTGAAGAAACTGAAGATTGAGGTGTCTGGAATAAAAATCAAACATTATATTTATATTGTTCGTTACATTATTACTCAACAACTATTCACGTTTCCAAAATTCGATATCTTTTCGAATATTTCTCCACATACATGTAACATTCATTAAACTATACTTTTACCATTACCAAAAACGTGAATATTATTAAAATCACAAATAAATTTTAAATTTCTCAAACAATCAAAACTTATTATTAATGTCATCATTGTTAATAATGTGTTATTATAATACTTAGTCAAACATGCAATATGGTCCATCGCATATTAAAGACAAATGCGGCCTTGGTCGGGACCGGCCCAATAAAACAATACACATGTTCAACAAGTTTACTTCTATTTCTTCCACGTGTCGAACATATGTTGGCTGGACGGTATGTGACTGTGCATTGTGGTTACGTTTCGAAAATGAATACGTAAGATTTCACATTAACTTTTCTTAATTTATGTCTTTTTCACAAGACCGTACCTATGGAAATAAAAACAAAATATAGTACTACCATTATTATTTTGAAATTGGAAAAATTTGAGGATAAGAACTAGTGTTCGTTGGTAAACGAAGCAAGTGAGATCACAGAGAAGCAAAACTCATCTCTCAGCTGCTCAAACCTTTACATGTTAGAACCCCAAAATGGAAACTAAATTCACAATTTTATTTATTTACTTGCATACCATTTTTATTCAGTCCACAACGAATTATAAATATTTTTATATAAGAAAAATTAGAGACCTGATTTTGTCATGGGAAATTTATCAGATCTACCACAATTTGGTGGGTCTATATACAAAAATACCACATTTCTGAAAACTCCTCAAAACTACCACTCTTTTATGGTAGTGATGACTTGATGAGACGAAAATACCCTTACATTAGTGAACAATATAAAAGCAAGACATCATTTTTTTTATATATAAAATTTCCCTTTTGTCATGCGAGGCTTGTAAATTTCAGGCAACATAATAAAAAGATAACTAAGCAAAAAGTGAAAAAAACAAAAGAAGTGGCTGGTTGATAGAATGTCCCTATCATTTCTACATTTGTGTAATTTATATATCTTTCATCAGTACATAACACTGTTTTTTTTTGTCAACGTAAAACATATTTTTCTAACTTTTTCATTACATAACACTGTTTTAGAAAGAGGAAAAAAAAAAAACACTGTTTTAGAATATTGAATGGTCGAATATTTTATAAGATGTTAAAATGAAGCATGGCATTACACTATAGCCCCAACGAAAATGACTTTACATAAAGCTGTCAATTATTTCTCCAATGGTTTGATAAGAGCATCTCCAACAACAGTAATGTCTGATAAGAGCATTTCCAACAGTAATGTCTCGAGAAAATGTCTCAAGATTAAAAAATAAAAAATAATATAAAAGTAAGAGAGAGTGTAGACATAGTTTCTGGTTTGAGAAACTTTGAGAAACTTTGAAAAACTATGTCTCCACTTGTCCTTTTATTATTTGTCAAATTCTTTTTTTATAATTTAAATAAATAACTTATTTATTATAAATTGATTAAAATAGTATTTTTGACCGCCCCACCACATAGTGTGTGATGGATGGTGATGCTCTAATTGTTTCGTTGAAGAGTCAGTCTTTTACTATTTTACTATTGGGCTTTATTGGGCTCTTACAATTTTATCGATTTTTGTTTACCGTCCAGAAAGTGGACCCACAATCTTTTGTGGCAAGAGGAAAAGAAAAAACAAGTCAGATTTTTGTCTTTATACGAGAACACATCGGTACGTTCCAGAACCCTCACCAGTCTCCTCCATCATTATCTTTTACTTAATAGTACAATTTATCAAACTTTTCATTAACATAATTATTCAACATTCACTATCATGAATAATAACTAGATCTTCACCAAAAAAAAAATGAATAATAACTAGATAAAAACGTTAATAGACTAGTACAATCTGTTAACATAAAGAAAAAAAAGTCGTAACTAGTAAAAGTTTTAAAAACTCTTAAGACCATTCACAAATGTTCTCTATAATTAGGTGTTAACTATTCGTTATATACTATTTTATTTTCTGTTTTTCTCTTAGCAATAATTAAAGATAAAAGTTTGGAGACGTTAGGCAAATTTTATAGTCTATGGGTCCTCTCTATAAATGAAGTCTCGACCACACACGAGAAAGAAAAAGCTCAAAACTGGAGAGAGAGAAAAACCCTAAAAAAAAAGAGAGGGTCGAGAGTGAAATGGAAGGCAAAGAAGAAGATGTTCGAGTGGGAGCTAACAAGTTCCCGGAGAGGCAACCCATCGGTACATCGGCTCAGTCCACTGACAAGGACTACAAAGAGCCACCGCCTGCGCCACTGTTCGAGCCCGGCGAGCTGAGCTCATGGTCGTTCTACAGAGCCGGAATTGCTGAGTTTATTGCTACTTTCCTGTTTCTCTACATCACTGTTTTGACTGTGATGGGAGTGAAGAGAGCACCAAACATGTGTGCTTCTGTTGGGATCCAAGGCATCGCTTGGGCTTTTGGTGGCATGATCTTTGCTCTTGTCTACTGTACTGCTGGAATTTCAGGTAATCGTCATTCCAATTTCCCAGTTTATTGTAAGCTCTGTCTTTTGTGAGTTCTCTGTTTCTGTTCTGCATTATTTACTCTGTTTTGTTTACTGAGAAAGTGTGGAGGATCGATTTTTTATGTTTGAAGTTCTGGAAGATCTCTTCGTTATTCCAATTTATAGAATTTGTCAGGTTTGTTTGTAATTTCTGAAGAACATCATGTGAGTCCTCTGTTTGTGTTCTGGGTTAATACTCTGCTTGACCTAGAAAAGTTGCAAACTTTGGGTTCTTTTGATGCTTGGGCTTATCTAGATCTGTCCGTTACTCCAATTTTACTGTAGGTTTCTAAAATAAAGCTCGTATCTTTCTGTAACATATGTGTGTGTATGTGTGTATTCAGGTGGACACATCAACCCTGCGGTTACATTCGGTTTGTTTTTGGCTCGGAAGTTGTCTCTGACCAGAGCTGTGTTCTACATGATTATGCAATGTCTCGGAGCCATCTGTGGTGCCGGAGTCGTCAAGGGTTTCCAGCCTACGCATTACCAGACTCTCGGTGGTGGTGCTAACACCGTCGCTCACGGCTACACCAAGGGTTCTGGACTCGGTGCTGAAATCATCGGAACCTTTGTTCTCGTGTACACCGTCTTCTCCGCCACCGACGCCAAGAGAAGCGCCCGTGACTCACACGTTCCGGTATGGATCTCTCTTAATTCCGGTTTACTGATTTTATAGGGTTAATTAGAGTAGTTAATGAACCAATTAGTTCCGGTTTATAATTGTCTAGCCTACTAAGCGACCGGTTTTTCTGGTTTTATTGGTTTGATTAGTAGCTTATGAGGCAATTAGTTCCGGTTGTGATAATTGGTAATTTTTCTTGTAGATTTTGGCGCCCCTCCCAATCGGATTTGCTGTGTTCTTGGTACACTTGGCAACAATTCCGATCACCGGGACCGGAATCAACCCAGCTAGAAGTCTTGGAGCCGCAATTATCTACAACAAGGACCACTCTTGGGACGACCATGTGAGTAACACTCTTGAACAACACAAATGAAAAGGACCACTCTTAAACGTATTAGATGTATTCTAATATTTGAATTTGAAAATTGTGGTTGCAGTGGATTTTCTGGGTTGGACCATTCATTGGAGCAGCTCTAGCAGCACTCTATCACCAGATTGTCATCAGAGCCATTCCTTTCAAGAGCAAGAGTTAGAACAAAGATTCCACCGTCCAGAATCTGTTCTTTTAGTAATTTCTTTGCTTATCTATCTACTCTAGCTTCTTGTGTTTTGCAATGTATGGAGAGCCTTTCAAGAATATATATTTGGGATTTCTAATCAGCGTGTTTTGTCTATGTAAAAACCATGCTTTATTTTTAACTGTTGTTTAATTATGTTAAATCCTCTTTGTTTATGGGTTACTGTTTTCCTAATATCGACTAGGCCACGGTTACGTTTATATGGTCTCTCATATGGGTCCATTTAATACTAGTGAATTTCAGCCCATCTTTGAGCGATAGGGAGGCCTGTTAAGGAGGGTCTTCTAAGAGCATCTCCAATAGTTACCTTCAAATATATCTTCAAAATTGAAGTTTCTTCAAATTTGAAGGTAAAAATGAAGCAAGCCTTTTCCAATGGTTTTCTTCATTTTCTATTTCAAAAAGAATATTCTAAGTATATTCTATCTTTATTTTATTATTAATTACTAACAAAACCCTTTACTTTCTAAACTTATGAATTTTAACCCGTTTATTTTATAATAAGCAAATAGTCTAACAAATTTTATTTAAAGTACATTATTATCACATTACATAACATTAATTAAAAACGTATATTTATGATGCAATTGTAGACATATACTTCTCCCACAAATGATCAATTAATGCATTCCGAAGTGAGAAATGAGCTTCTTTATCCTTTATTTTTCTAAATCGAGCGAGGAATTCTTGGAATCGGGTATTTTCATTATTTTCCATTTCAACATCCGGAGGTGGAGTTTCTCTTCCAACTTCAATTGGCGCATCGAGATCACGCTCATCTTCAATTATCATATTATGTAAAATTATACATGTAGTCATTATATCATGTATCACGCTTTTCTCCCAAAAACGAGCTGGTCCTTTCACGATTGCGAAACGTGATTGGAGAACTCCAAAGGCACGTTCTACATCTTTTCTACACGCTTCTTGTTGCGTAGCAAAATATTTTTTTTTAGAACCCATAGGCTCGTGAATAGTTTGCACTATGGTAGACCATTTTGGATATATACCATCAGCCAAATAATAACCCATATTATATTCTTTTCCTTGAATGACATAATGAGCAGGAGGAGCAATACCTTGAGCGAGATTGGAAAAGAGATGGGAAGACTCCAACACATTGATATCATTATTGGTGCCTGGCATACCAAAATATGCATGCCATATCCAAAGATCATAATCTGCCACGGCCTCAAGTATTATTGTTGGTGATCCACTGCGACCTGTATATTGTCCAGCCCAACCGGTAGGACAATTTTTCCACTTCCAGTGCATACAATCTAAGCTGCCTAGCATTCCAGGGAAACCCCGTTTTTCACCAATGTAAAGAAGTCTTGAAACATCATTAGGTGTTGGTGATCGTAAGTATTGGTCTGAAAATATTTCCACTACTGCTCGGCAAAATCTTTTCAGGCTTTCAATCGCCGTTGATTCTCCAATTTTGATATACTCATCTGTGGCATCCGCTGGTAAATCATATGCAAGCATCCGAAATACCGCTGTTACTTTCTGAAGGGATGATAATCCAAGTCTACCGGTTGAATCCCTTCGTTGTTGAAAGTAGTTATCATGATCTTCTACTGCATTAATAATACAAAGAAATAGAGGACGGGCCATACGATATCTTCTGCGGAACATAGCATCCTTGTAAATTGGATTTTCTGAGAAGTAATCGTTGAACAATCTCCAGTGTGCACTTTCTCGATCACGGTGAATGAAAGAACGTCCGGGAACTGAGCCACCATGGATCACCTGGCTGGTTTGTTAATTGTATCGCTTCTTCTTCTTGGTCAAGAGTATGGAGAATCTCCGTATTCTCATCATCATCAGAAGAGGATGAGGAAGAGGATATATTTGTCAAATTAAAATTCATTTCAAAAGAGAGAATTTAGGATAAGAAAAATATAAGTATATATTGGCTTGTGATGAGTAACATAGAATTTTGATGGAATTTATAGAGATAACATGTGAAAATATATTAATTTTTAAAATCAGTTTTGTATTGTCAAATTTTGTCATAATAGATTCTCTTGTCACTTTGTCATTGTATTGTCTACTCTTGTTGTTATAGATTAAATAACGTGCAACCTTAGAATTTTTTTTCATTGTATGGTCAAATCTAATAGTATATGGATGGTAGAATTCAAAAAGAAAATCATGTCTACTTTTTTATCTAACACTTTATATCACTTTATCATTGTTTTGTCAAATCTTGAAAACACTTTGTCATTTTATTTTCAAGTTTTGTCATAATGAATTGAGAAACGTAAGAATCTTTGAATAACTTTATTATTGTATTGTCTAATCATCTCATAAGAGATTGAGTAATATGGGAGCCTTTATTAACATCTATAAATAACATCATGGTGTTATATTTTCATTCACCTCATTAAACCATTCTATAATTTTCTATCTCTACTACATTTATTCTTACTTTACTTACAAAAATGCCTCTACGTTCTACTGGATATACACAAGAAGAAGATAGGCTTTTGTGTCAAATTTATATGGAAATTTCTCAAGATCCAATTAAGGGTGTCTATCAGTCATCCGATCGGCTTTGGTCCCGTGTGCTAGAAGCTTATGAGAAGGAGAAAAATCCAACGTGGAGTGAACGGTCAACAAAATCTATCCAATGCCGAATTCAAACTATCGAGAAAGTAACAAGAAAATTACATGCATGCATCAAACAATGTGAGAATAGACGTCCAAGTGGTGCTTCAAGTGACGATATTGTGAGTATTTTTTGTGATTATTAATAGATGATTTATCAAATTTATTTGCATTTGGTTATTAATTATTTTTTTCTTCAAATTTGTTTGCAGTTTAATCAAGCCAAAGTGATGCTAATGGAAGATCAAAGATATAAAGGAGGTTGGAAATTTGATCATGTGTGGAACATTATTAAGAATTATGAAAAGTTTAAAGATGGTGACACTTCTTCTAGAAAAATATCAAACCCACTTAATTTCGGGTATATATCTTCAGAGTCAGAAAATCCTACTCCTGATTCCGCTACACAAGCATCTCCAGGTTTGTCTTCATTTTCTTTGAACTTAGATGGTGATGATGACAACATTGGCGGATCTCCATCTCAACGTCCAATGGGAGTAAAAAAATCCAAACTGAAAAGAAAAATTGATGATCAAACATCAATTATTATCAACACTTTGGAAGAAGGAAATAAACAACTTTTGGAGCAGCTAAAGAAGACAAGTGCTCAAAGACAACAACATTTGGAGATTCAAAGTAAGAATTATGCTTTGAAAGAACTAAAGGCAGACAACAAAATGTTACTTCAAGACTTGAATTCCATAGAAGATCCAGAGATTCGTGCATATGTTCAAGCTGAAAAAGCTCGCATTTTACAAAAAAGAAATGAAGAAAAACAGAATCAACAAGCTCTATCTGGATCAACCTCATTTGGGCAATATTTTAATTATCTTAGTGGATCCGGAAACGAATTACCAGATTATTAAGTTTTTAATATATGATATGGTATGTTTTTATATATTTAATGTTAGTATTAATTATGCATTTTAAATTTTATGTTGGATATGTGTTTGTTTTTCTATTTAATATATATATTGTTATTGTATTTTAAGTTGTTTGGATAAAATATGAATAAATAATTTGTTTGGTATAAAATAAATACTTGTTATAATTTAAGGGATCATTTTGTAAATAAAAAAGTTCATCTTCAAAATATGAAGATGTGAATAGTATACCTTCAAATATGAAGATACACTATTCACTCCTTCATTTTGAAGGTGAAAATGAAACACCATTGGAGAAGATTTCTTCATTTTTATCTTCAAAATGAAGGAAAAGGTGAAATTTGAAGCACCATTGGAGATGGTCTAACAGCATCTCTAATGGGAGCTCTCTTCCAAAGTTTTCTTCTCAAAAGTGATTATAATTGATTAAAATTAAATCAGAAAACATAATTGAGGAGAGAGTTGGTTCTCTGAAGAAAGTTTTGGGAACCCAGGAGAGACGCACACGTGTCACTGTTTGACTGGTGGAGGATTTTTAACAAAAGGAAAAAAAAAAGACAACGTGTGAACCACGAAGTCTTCTTCCAATTATTTTTTTCGACTCTCTTTCACTCTTTTGGCGATATCAGCGAACAAGAAGACGAGATTTAGTCTGACGATTCCGGCGATTGAGGGTTGATTTAAGGGAGAAATTATGGTGTATGAGCGTGCTCTTGATCCATTGAATTGATGCAGCTCTTTCGCTTGCTCTCAGAATCTCGGTTTGAGCGGTGGTTTTAGTGCACTGAAGCTCTGCCAAGTGCTTGTGAAAATTCCAGCCCTTTTTCCATCAAATCTTTCAATTAGGTGACTTTTCATTTCGATTTTTTCAGGATAAGTTTGTGATTTGATTCCTTGTTTCTAAATCTCTTGATTTCTGAACAATTCAAGGTTTTGATAAACCTAGTTGTTAATGTTTGTGTCTGTGTTCTGAGTTAGATTGAGTTATTTGCTTCATGCTGACTAATCGTGTTTGGTCCTATGTGTTTTTCAAATTTCATTTGTATTGCTTAATGAGTTTTATGGACTTGAGTAAAAGTTTACTACTTTATAGGTTTTGAAAGAATTTTAGTTTTGGTGAGCTTCCAATGGCTTTGAAGATAGAGATTTAGATCATGGAATTACTATCTTCTCATACTGCTTTTGCTCTGTTTTTTTTTTTTTTCTCAGTTGATTGAAACCTTGATTGATGAACAAACTGGTCTTCTTCTGAAACTGCAGGTTGTTCATGTTGTTAGAGGTAGGATTCCGGTTTTGCTTGATGGAGGAGTAAGGTGAGGAACATATGTTTTCAATCGATAGGCTTCCATTGGTTCATGGTGCTTGAACTTGTAGGCATCGGTTACACAGGAGTGAGTTTCTTCTTCTACCATCTTGTCTTTGTATCATTTGAACCAAGTTTTAGTGAACCTGTTTTGAGGATATAGATGATTCATCTCATCACTTTTGGATTTAGGACCGAACCTCTGCAATTTAGTGTATTCGTATAGAGATATGATATCAGTCACCATCGGAAAATACACAGTCTTTAACCCAAACGAAGCTCATCCTTCACCTCAATATCATAAGATCTCTATCAGATTACTCTCCAAATCCGAATTTCTGAATTTTGAATTTTC